ACAGAGAAAGAGAGAGAGAGAGGGCATGAGAAAGCAAGCCACCAGGCCCAGGACTTGAACCGTGGTTGGCCATGTGGGAGTCCAGTGCCTTTAACCACCACGTCACCTGCCAGCCCACTCATTTTCCATTGTAATCACCATGTGAATTCAAAAGTGATGGTGATTTTTGTCTTTATAGGCAACCCTCTCCTTTCACTCAAGGCTGCAGGGCCTTTGAGACACAAATCCTCCTGTACACAGCCGGCAATAAAACAGCAGTAACTTGGCTCCGTCTGGGTGTCCTCTTATTTCTTGATTTGACTACAACATGTTTGCCCACGTGGTGCAGGCCGTCTTTCAGCATCTTGTTCTCGGTTAAAGGCTTACAAAATGTAGTTACACACATACATCCACTGGTCTTTTAAACAACCCCAAGTAGGATGCCTCCTAATTAACCTTCCATTTAAACAAATAATTCACATCCATTCAGATCAGTTCTAATCCCATTGGCTCTTAAAACAAGGGCAGCAAAAACTCTCTCTCCCTGCTAATCCAGCCTAAAGTGGATTTGAAATGTTTCCACCATTCATTTGGTGAATCGCTTGCATTGCTTTGTAAAATTTCTCTTACTATTGTCTTAAATTGCCTTCCATAGCTGCTCAACTTTCCGTCTCACTTGTCTCCCGTATCTGGCTCTCTTTTTCCCTACGCTGTCATTTACCCTCTTCACTGGATCATCCCCATCAGCGTACTGGTATACTAGTATTTCTCTCATCTTACAAAATGCTTTGACCTGACTTCTTCCAGCTACCTCCAGAACGCCTCAAATGATTTCATCTGTTTGCACCGTCTCCTTTTCCTCTTCTCCTGTTTCCTGCTAAATCTACTCCAATCAGAATCACCACCCAGTGGAACCCGCAGTTAGCGTAATGGCCATGTCGCTGGACTCCCATGTAGTCGACTGCGGTTCGAGTTCTGGACCCGGTGGCTTAAACTCACGCCTGGTGCGTGTGTGCCCAAGATCCCGAGAGGAGAATGGAGGAGAAGGGATTGCGGCATGGCCATCCCCTGGGGGGTGATTTCTCACTTTCTGTCTCTCTGTCTTTCTGGCGAGCGCACACGCCCTATAGCAAAAACTTCTAAAAAAATAAAAAAGAATCACCACCCAGTGTTCCACCCAGACTGCTCTTCTTCAGCTCAGTGACCTCCACTCTGCTAAAGCTGGTGGTCAGTCGTGGTTGCCCCTCACCTGGTCTTCCAGCACAGTAGATACTTCCATTTTCCTTCAGCTACTTGGCGCCCAGTTCCTCACATTTGTGAGACTTACTTTCCACCTCTTTCCACCTTACTTTCCATCCCCTTCTTCTAACCTGTCTGGCATACAGTAGCTGCTAGTATTTAATGACTGAATGAAAGAAGGAATGGATATGTCTTAATTGCCAAGTCACTATAAAGTACACTACTGGGGCTAGCAGGTGGCATGGTGGTTGAGGCACTGGACTCCCACCATGGCCAACCATGGTTTGAATCCTGGACTTGGTGACTTGCTTTCTCAGTTTCTGTCTCTCTCTCTCACACACACACTCTCTCTGTCTCTCTCTAGTGAACACATGGGTCCTATAGCAAATTTTAAAAATTATAATAAATAAAATTAAATAATTAAAAATAATAATAATCAAGTACACTACAGGTACCTTGAATAAGAGAGTTCTTTCAGGCTCATAGCTTCCATCTATGACACATCCAGACAAATTTCCATGCAATGATTGTGCTGAGGGACCGTCATGAAACACTGAGGGTGGGGAGAGGACACGGGGACTTTGCGCCCAGACCTGGGGAGTCAGGAACATTTCTGGGAGACAGTACCATATAAACCAAGGCCAGAGATGGGAGACTTGGATTCCAGCCCAGCCTGTAGAAGCTTAGAGGATCCATGCTAACAGGTAGAAGCAGAACAGATTTAAAACTCAACAGCTTTTCTTAGATCATCAGAGAGTGAGGTCACAGGGTAAACTCTACCCCCAGTCTTGGAAAGAGACAAGCGGAGTACCGAGAATCACAGCAGGCGGGGACAGAAGCCTCCGTGGGAACCCTCGCTGAGGCAGGAAAACCTGACCAGGAATCGGTGAATTGCTGGACAGGTCTGAGAATGAAGAACTTCAGGGGACCCAGTCATCCAGGTGCCACCACACTTTTGCAAATTCCCTTCCAGGAGCTTAACCATATCCCCGCAGTGATGATTAGAGAAACATCTCATGTTCCTGGCAGAGGATGGGAAAACAACTGTTTTGAAATACACTAGAGGCCTTCTTAAGGCCTACCTACCCTTAAAAGAAATGATTTCTCCAGAACCTAACCTGCTGTGGTCTTATCAGAAGCTAAGTAACCTGGGAGAAGGGAAGTACCCAGCCCCAGCCCCCTCTAGCCATCCTGTCCCACAAAGATGGCCAGGGTGTGTGTGGCGGGGGTGGGGTGGGGGGAGAATTTAAAAACACTCGTGAAGTTTATAGTCTCTACAGTCCAGAGGCATAGGTTCACCAAAAGACTGAGACCTCATAGACAGTTTTGACACTCAGGAAACTGAACGTCAATTGAATACTGTTATCTAATATATAGTGCATATTCTAATTTCCCTAACATGCCAATAATGTCTTACTGTTGATATATGGGATTTTTTTTTCTTCCGGGATTCAAAATTCAACCAAGGGTCACACATTGTATTCAGTTGTGGAGAGTGGCTGTTTTGCATGAGTTTTATGTCCTCAGTAAAACCAATTAGGCTATGCTATCACTGGTCCTGTTGTCAGTGACACTGACTGATTATTTGGTTAAGGTGGTAACGTCTAGATTTCCCCATTGTGAAGGCAGATTTTCTTCTTTGTAATCGATAACCTTTGGGCTCATAGTTAACGGGGATCTATTCCTTGACACTCTGTCACCTGGGGATTTTAGAATCCCCTAATGATTTTTGCTTGAATCGGTTATTATTTGGTGGTTGTAAAAAAATGTTGATTAGAAACATTCTATAGGGCTAGCAGGTGGCCTTATGGTAGAGCAGTTGGGTCCCATGTAGCCGGCTACATGGTTTGAGTCCTGGACACAGGGGCTTGAGAAACACTCTAGGCATGTGTGCATATGTGCCCACAATCCCCAGAGAAGAGTGGAAGGATTGTAGTGTGGCCTCCCCCCAGAGGGATGTGTTTTTCATTTCTCCTCACTCTCTCTCACCCCTTCTCTCTGACTCTATCCAGTGAGTGGTGAGTGTGTGTGCACTATATCAAATATTAAGATAAAATTCTAGGGGATCAGCAGATGGTTTGGTGGTTAAAGCACTGGACTACCACATGGCTATCTGCAGTTCAAGTCCCGGACCTGGTGGTTTGCTTTTTTACTTTCCTTCTTTCTTTCTCTCTCTGTCTCCTTCTGGTGAGCACATGTGCCCTATAGCAAATTAAAAAATAATAATAAATAGAAGTGAATAATTCTTTTTTTTTGAAGTCTATCATTCCCTTTCCACTTATTATTTGGCAACTACGTGATGACTCGGAGGCTGCCAAGGAACAGTCACTACCATCTGAATACATTTTGTTTTGCTCCCAAAGAGAGAAGTTCCTAAACGCTTGTGCTCTCTGAGGTATATTGCCATAGGAACATCTCGGAAGTATATTTCCACAGTAAGCATGAAGTCCTTGTAGCGTTATAAAAGGTACACATAAGAAAATAAAGTTTTAGTGTGTTTAACAGTTTAAAAAAAACATTTTACTAAAATGGAAAAATATATAAACAATCAACAATATACAATATTGAAAATACCCACATTGTTCAATATTATAAACTAGTGATAGAGATAAGGCCTTTCTTGCTAAAAGGTTATTTGGGTCTGTTTTTTGTGTGCAACCAAAAATGAATTTCCAATATGATTTTATGACATGCTTAAAACATGGGCACTGACATCACAAGTATAAAATATCATTGTCAATGCCACAGTCAGGTTTTGGGTCTTTATATTCTCATTTATAAGTAGAGGAGTTGGACAGATTATAAAATGCCTTAAAAACATTTTTTTAAACTTGCTATAGAGCACATGTGTTCATCAGAGAGAGAGAGACAGCACTCCCTGGGTAGATGGCAACGCCCCATCTCCTTTTGGGAGTTTGGGCATGCATGCACATGCGCTGACGTGTTTTTCAAACCACCAGGTCTGGGACTCAAACCATGCAGTTGGCCATGTGAGCTTCAGCCACCTTAACCACCACACCACCGGCTGGCCTCTGCTTTCAGATTTTTACTATTGGATGATTGAGACATTTGTTATATGAGTTGGGCTCCCTACCCCCTTCAGCTAAAGAGTGTATTGTCCTAATTATTTATGCTCACAGAAATAAAAGTAGTAAGATAGAAGCCAAAGAACTAGGAGAAAGGAAAGCAAAATACAGACACCACCATGAAGCGTCACAAGACTGTGGTAGGTCTCCATTTCCCTTTCGGGAGTATACACTATCGGAGTCTCTTCTTTTTTTTCCACATACAATTTTTTAATAAAGACTTCCCTTGACAAATAAAATCAGAGATACCTTATAAGCCAGCAAGGGAGAGGAGTTTAATAACTCACTAGCTCAAGGTTCTTTTCTTCCCCGGCTTCAACTACTCCCAGCTGTATCCTGGCAAGAACTGCTCCTCTGAAAGCAGCTAGTGGAAGAAAGGATCAATTTCTACCCCTTGGTACCCGAGGAGAATTTATTCTGTGTTATTTCATATTTTCAGCTGCCTCTTTAGCTGCCGCACCCAGGAGAACTAGAAAACGGGCTCTCCACTTATTACCAATTTCTTATTAAGTTAAAGAGCCAATTATGGCATTTTGTCCTCGAGCCTCTGGTCCCTGGGCGGGATGAAGTGGTGGTGGAGAGGGAGGGACTGGATGGCTCTGCAGGGTGACAGTGAGCTTCAGGAGCAAGGCCGAGAGAGAACAGTTCGTTGTGCCCTTTTGTCTGAATGTTTTCAATTCCTGTTTCCCCTTTCAGGGTCTCTCACACAGTGTGAGCCGTCTCCTGCCCACAGTGAGTGGCGAAAGAAACTCACCCCAGAGCAGTTCTACGTCACACGAGAAAGAGGAACCGAACCGGTAAGCTGAACCACCCACGGGCTCTGATGAGATGTGTTGGGAGTGGAGTGAGTTGAAGCAGATCCATCTGCAAAGTTGGAAAAGATCTGTCTACAGAGCCCACCTCCTCACCGTCTACTCCACAAGTCTGGTCCTTCCCCCTGTTCCCGTCTCTGGGCCCCAATCTCCACGCAGCTGAGCCCAAATCTCCCCTGCTGTTGACTGCCTCTGGGCCACATTCCCGCCTCTGCTCCTTGGGCTGCAGTAGCCTCCAGCTACTCGCTTTTCCCTCTCTCTCTGTCTCTCTGTCCCTGCCCAGCTGTTCTCTTCAGGGCAGCTCGACAGGTCATTGTTTCTTTTTTTTTTTTTTGGAGAGGTTTTTGCTATAGGGCACATGTGCTCGCCAGACAGATAGAAAGAGACAGACAGAAAGCAAGAAATCATCCCCCAGGGGTGATGGCCACACCACAATCCCTTCTCCTCCATTCTCCTCCCGGGATCTTGGGCACACACACGTGCCCGGCATGAGTTTAAGCCACCGGGTCCAGGACTCGAACCTCAGTCAACTACGTGGGAGTCCAGTGACACAGCCATTACGCTAACTGCTGGTCCCTCGACGGGTCTTTTGAAAACCCAAATCTGACCACCACACTCCTCATTTAAAACCCATGAATAGTTTCCCACTGCTTTCAAGGAAGAGAGAAAAGTATTAAGTGGCTGATAAGATTTTAAAGACTCTGGCGCCATCCTCATCTGCAGCCATTTTTGGCCTCGATCTGCACTTCTGCCACACTGTCCCTCCTCAGGGCCCGCACACTCTGGGCCCCTTCCCCACCGCCTTGGTATTGCTTCTCCACTCCCTCCATTCCCGGCCCCACTTATTAGGTTGTTGAGGAAGTTGTGACATGTTTTTCTGTTTTTCTATGCAAAAATGCATCGGGGCACACACACGTGCCCGGCATGAGTTTAAGCCACCGGGTCCAGGACTCGAACCGCAGTCAACTACGTGGGAGTCCAGTGACACAGCCATTACGCTAACTGCTGGTCCCTCGACGGGTCTTTTGAAAACCCAAATCTGACCACCACACTCCTCATTTAAAACCCATGAATAGTTTCCCACTGCTTTCAAGGAAGAGAGAAAAGTATTAAGTGGCTGATAAGATTTTAAAGACTCTGGCGCCATCCTCATCTGCAGCCATTTTTGGCCTCGATCTGCACTTCTGCCACACTGTCCCTCCTCAGGGCCCGCACACTCTGGGCCCCTTCCCCACCGCCTTGGTATTGCTTCTCCACTCCCTCCATTCCCGGCCCCACTTATTAGGTTGTTGAGGAAGTTGTGACATGTTTTTCTGTTTTTCTATGCAAAAATGCATCGTGACTTTCCCAATGACCCAATAATTTAGGCCTACCTTTTAGACCTCAGCCCAAATCTCACTTTCTCAAGGAAGCCTTTTCTCGGCCCCAAGTGAGACTTGCTTATCCCAGGACGTTCCTTCATCGTATTTCCGCTGTTCTGTCCTCTGGCTAAAGCAGGCACTCAAAGAGTACGTTTTTGGTGGATGTTGACTGACTATGGGTGAAGAGGTAGAAACATAGTTAGTATTGTATTTTAAAAATCGCTTCTCTTTTTCTTGAGGAAGAGAGAGACAGGAACCCCTGACAGGGCCCGATCATGTGATTATCCTCTCCCCAGGCTTCTAGCAGACCAGGATCACAGGCGTGTCCAGTGTGTTCAGGCCAACCCAAGATGCAGACCACAGGCCTTCCCACATGTCACCCAGCAGCTCCCTGCCACCGGAGCCACTGAGGCTAGGTCGCCGACAGTATTTAAACCACCTTCAGCAGTCTCAGCTCTCTTTCATTCCCCAACAGAACACTCCTCAGCGGCTCCTCTTTATCATGCCGTTGTTTATAGCCCTGTATTTCTTAGGAGTGATCTGTCGTAGACCCACCTACAAACGCTGGAATTTAGCTATTGAACTTCGTTATTAGATACTTTTCCTTGTGAAGCAGATCCCATAGAGTGGACCCAGCACAGTGGTTTTGCAACTTCATAGAGCGTGAGTACACTTTGATGAATAAATATAAATATTCTTGGCCCGTAGCTGCACAGTCCAGGTTGCCCTCCACGTGCATGTGGCCTTAAGTGGCCTTATGTAGCAGTCTCCGTTTTCCTGACTGAGAGTGAGGTCATCAGACAGGCCTGCAGATTTCAAAAGCCTCTTGAGAAGTACCAGTACTCTTTCAAAACTCCCTGCAGCTGGGATTTTAATAAACCCTTCACTGGAAAAGACCCTGCATTAACCATCATTGACGATAGCCCAGGAAGCGCATGTGGTACTCAGTGAGCAGTTGTGTGTATTCTGGGAATATTCTAAGCCAGCCCTAATGCTCAGGTACAGAGCCAGGAGGGGTTATAGATGCACAGCCCCAAGCTGAGCTGCCAGATGTTCGGGGGAATTCATCTGCGGGCTTCTGCAACAGATGGTGCAATATACTCTGCATTTGGCTATTTTATAAAAGGAGCATCATCCATCCTTTGAGCTATTGTTATAAATCCCTTTCGGTTGATCCTTTTCCACATTTAAGCTTTTAGAACATTGTAGAACCGCAAGCCTTCCTTAGCTGAGCAAAGAGAAGTGAAACATCAAAGCCTTCTATTTGCTGACTCCAAAGCACAGTTCAGTTGCAGTATTTTGCAGGGCAACAAGGACATGCCTGCACCCTGCTAGACCGACAAGAGAACGCACAGCCTGGTTAGGCATAACCTGAAGTCAAGCATCAATAGAGGAAGGGTTTTTCGCAGCTCGCTCTTCGTGAGCTGCTTCTGCTCTAAGCTCTGGGAAGAGTGACAGCTCCCTTGACTCTGGCTACTGATTGAGTTTGGCCAGAAGGAGATAGGATGGGGTTGCAGGGTCCTCAGTGCCTGCGGCAGGGAGACAGGGGCTATGATTCTCTGCTGCAGGCAGCCCTCACCTACAGCCACAGCCTTGCCAAGTTCTGGCCACTTCCCCGTTCCTTTGTCCCACAAGTCTGGGGCAGTGGAGGAGTCATGTCCTGTCTCAATCCACCAGCCCAGGGTGCTTTGCCCGCCATGGCCATGGTGACTTTTCACTGGCTCTCCCCCTTTGCAAATGGTGAAGTTATCAGCAATTACCCCCTTTCCAGCAGGTATGTTGTAGGATCAAAGAGAGAATTTGTTATCAGTCCCAACAGACCTTGAAATCCCAGGGATGTCTCAAATGCCACAGTGTCTCTGACCCTGGTCCGCTCTCGGTACTGCTAGTCATTTATTTTTCTAAATCATTCTTGAATCTCTTCTCTTCTTTTTTTGTTTTAATTTGCTGCAGGGACATGAACTTGCTGGAGAAAGAGAGAGGGAAAGTGAACAATCCCCAGAGGGGATTACCACGCTGCACAGTTGGCCACGTGGGATCCAGCCTCCTTAACCATTATGCCACTGGCTGGCCCTCTCCTCATCTTTTCGTGTTCTGTTGTTGTTGTTGTTGATTATTTTCTTTTAATCTGATCAAAGAGAGACATGAAAAGTGAGAAAGCAAGTCATCAGGTCTGGGGTTTGAACTGTGGTCGACCACGTGGGAATCCAGCGCCTCAACCACCATGCCACCTGCTGGCCTCTTTTCATTTTTTTTTTAAGCTTATGTATTTATTCTATGAGCAAAAGAGACAGAAAAAGAGGAACCCCCATCAGGGTCTTCATGCCATGATTCACCTCTAGCTTTGACCAGCCCAGATCACAGGCCTGCGC